ATAGTCGGATCGGAAGGAATAGAAAAGATTAGCTAGAATAACTGCTCTAGCGGTTACACAACGATTTATTTTCTTTTTTGCGACAATTGAATATTTTACTTTGCTTTTAACTGTAGGTACAATGGCATTCTTCGCTACGCTCTTGGTTTCAGGATATTTACATGCATAAAACAAATTCATAGGTACTTGCAAGGTATGGGAAAATAAAATGACTAAAAAAACATAGTACATACCTATCTACATACTTATGCAATTAAAGTAGCTAAATGATTCAGGCATAACATATTTTAAATAATATAAATGAGTACCTACTTACTTACCTAAGCACAGATAGGTATCTACCCACAATCGTTGGGGTGATGCCGATCCGGAGTCGCGGAGAACCTAACGGGTAACCGGGGATCCGGCTCGAAGCGCAGGAGAAGGAACGGGGTGGTTTTTAGTCAGTAAAAGTCTGACACTTACTCCCGCCTCACCAAGGCGGGAGCAGTCATTCGATGATTTCCCCCCCCTTAAATAAAAAAAACCCACAATCGTTAGAACACTGAATCACATGCTCTAAAAGTTATCTTCGAGAGCGGAATTGAATCGGCAATTTATTATCAATTCGGCCGAGGACGGGACGAGTTTGAGACGACAGATTAACGGGCTATTGAGACACTGTTACAGGAACTATAATAATTTTAACTCTGAGGATTGTATTCTTTTGCAACTAATAAAATTGAAGGTACATACCTATTATCAATTAAAACATTATGGATAATAATATTCCAAACACAGAAAAGTTACAAGTGCGTTGTCCTCCTTTTGCGGGGGATTTCTGTAATCTCAGTGATATAGCGAAGTATAATATAATACTAGCTTGTTTCACGCCGGTGTTTTGTGAGGCCGTAGACACTTGGTCTTAACTCCGGTAGAGCTGAGCAACCAGTCATGTAGATATCTTACGTACTTTCTATTAAGCAATCAAATATTTTGCACTGGCAAACTTCTTAAGAAATTGTTACAATCTTTCACGCTTTTAATAGGTGCCTACTTACTTTTATAGATGGCTTGGTATTCTCTAGTTGGCAATTGTAGATCCTCATCAATCATAGAGCTCGCCCAATGACAATTCTTCTATAGAACCTCGTCAAGAAACGCGAAAATGCTGAGATGTACTTTGACGAAATAGCAGTTTGTTTTTTGTTCGCACAATTTTAGGAGCTATGAATACTTGTTAGGTCGTGTTTTTATATTTGAATCAGGTCTTGTAGGAGAATACATGTCTATCTAAACCGAGAAGCCTAAAATCCTCAATGACTTAATTATATACTCGAAAGCTAACAACATCCAAAGAACTTAATTAGTTCAATAGATCCTGACAACAAAAACCATAACTTTACTGTTCTACCAAATCAAGTAAAGTCACGCCAAGACGTCTAGCGATTCCAAACCCAACTTCAATCTCATTTTGTTCCAGCCCTAACAGTGGAAGATCGACTTGACTCAATTAAAAACTTCTACATCTAACCAAGGTGAGGTAATTAACACTTCAGAGATCTTGTTCCGCCTTTTTGTTCAGCCAGGATCACGCTTAATGGGAATAATACAATTCACTTTCCTTCTAACTTTGTTCTAATTTAATTTACAAGAAACACTGTTGAGAATCCTTTGGTTTGATTCTTGTGCGCGAATTTTCAAGCGAATGCGGAGTTTGATGTTTGCTAGTCTATTAAGTAAAAGTTAGTGAACGACTTAACGTATTTATAGCGATAGGTTATCTTAACGGCTAGGTAGGATATGTGACTGATGTCCGAATATTGAAACGCTACTCAATTTTAACTCGTAAATGTCCGTATATGAAAAATCCACAACATTTGTTCATACGAAAGTAGTCTCTAGACATTTATAAGGTCGAAAAGGTCATTAATAAGGTTTATAATGGTGTGTCACTGGTGACCGCTTGGAACTTTACCAGAAAAACGCGATTAAGTATGTACCTATAGTTCTGTCACTTAAAATCACATAGGTAACATAACATCACGCCTTTTATCCCCGAAGGGGTGGGCAAAGGTGTACATTATGCCACTGTACAATATAACACCAATTTTTCACTATTTATGTTATGAGTCCCATGTAGAGTATTCGATCCGGGCCCATTTTTCCAGTCCCGGGATTTCGGGATTATCTAAAGTGAATCCCGGGATCCCGGGACAGTCCCGGAATAGAAAGAAGTAACAGAAAGACAGTAATTTATATATCAAAATCAACTTTTAATCATTAGTTCAATCTACATAAAACGAAACAAAAATAATATTTCCTTCTAATAAAATAATAAACAAACAAACAAGGAACTTCTTTACATAATTAGTGTAATAGTTTGTTTATTTTGATTCACATAAAATCTTTAAAAAATCAACTTCTAAACACTTGTTTAGATAAACATTAAAAATTACTTAATTCAAAAGAGATCAGTAATACAAGGTACTTTATAATTTATAAATTATAACATTTTTTTCGTTTCGTTTCATGCATATTTTTATTCTATATCACAAAGATGAATCTCAAAATGTATTGGTAAGAGCATTAATTCCAATCCTGAAAATCCCGGGATACTTAAAAAATAATCCCGAAAATTACGGGAGTGAAATTTGATCGGGATCCCGGGATCCCGGGATCCCGATCAAATTTCATCGAATCCTCTAGTCCCATGTAATAGGGGGTGAGCCTTCACTTCAAATTTTTTGTAAAATGACAGAGATATTTAAGTATAACTTAAAATTGAGTAGCCTCAGTATTCGTGTGATATTGCATCTATCTCCAGTGATATTTGAGAAATACTTCAAGACAGAAATACTTCATGGCTTCTGTAAAACTCCATAGTTTACAATATTTAAAGAATGTGATGAATTAGGTGTCTACTTATAGAATGTGCTGGCCATATGTCAACATTATGCAACAGGCAGACTTCTCATAGGTAGCTATAATCATCGATTTGCTGTAGGTGGAATGACTCGTTTACATGAAATGAAATGTACACACTAAGCGTATTTTTCTTTAAACGTGTCCCCATACTAGGTTATTCTCCTGTGTCGTGACACCCAGACCCGGAACAACAATCTGTAGATCACACAAAGATCCGTGCGCGAATCGAACCTGCGACACGTTGCGCGGCATCCAGTTGCCCAGTCTCCGCCCCAACCGTGCAATATTCATACTTATTGTACCTACTTTCAGAAAAATCTTTTTCTGTAATTTTCGCCCCTTTCATTTTGATTGTATCGCATCCTTTAATAATTGCCAATATCCTGAAATCGTCTGTACAGATTTTTTCTTCTGTTTTTCAAGACGAGTTTGTTGATACGCAGGCATTAATGAACATTTTCGTTCGTGTATCGAACAGTCTGCAGATTCATTATTAGTTACATCAATTAAGTAATAGAGTTTGACACTAAGTCACTGAGTTCAAGATGAACATTAATTGGTAAGTCCCCACTGCACACGGATGTGTGAATCGGGATACGATAATAATAGTATGAATTTTTTATGGACGGTAAACGAGTAGACGGATCACCTGATGGTAAACAATCGTCGTCGCCCATGGACACCTGGAACACCAGAGGCGTTACAAATGCGTTACTGGCCTTTTGGGATGAGGAATTTGAGGATTTTTGGGGATTCAGGGATTGGGGAAGGGAGGGTGTAATTGGGCCTCCGGTAACCTCACTCACACGACGAAACACTATGCAAGCGCTGTTTCACGTCGGTCTTCTGCGAGGCCGTGGTATCACTTCGGTCGAGCCGGCTCATTCATACCGAAGCATGGAACTCCCACAATTGTAACTAAGGTAAACTATTAAACTGTCAAACACCGCTTTTTTTTTTTTTTTAAGGGGGGAAAAATCATTGAATGACTGCTCCCGCCTGGGTGAGGCGGGAGGGAGTGTCAGACTCTTACTGACTAAAAACCACCCCGTTCCTTCTCCTGCACGTCGAGCCGGAGCCCCGGTTACCCGTTAGGTTCTCACCGCTGGGACACCGGTGACCGCAACCTTTTGTTCTTTAATTGTGTCTATAATGACGGTACTCAACGAGTTAAGGTAGGTAGATAGGTGTCCGACCAAGTAATCGAATCAGAATCCATTGCTCAATAGTGGCTCTACCCATGTGCTCACCCTACATGTTACATTTTCAGGAAGAACGGTCCAACGCCTCTACGTCTTTTATTCAGGAAAAAATAGACGTCATGAATTAGATCTTAAAACAATGGTCATATTGATTACAGTGACCTTCAAAACTAAGAATATTACTCATAGATACGCTACATAAAGGTGTTGATTCATCTTATAAACGATAACTGCTCTAAAATCTTTATCAAACACATGATGAGAATTCCCAAGATAAACAATTCTTTGAGTAAGTCCCCCCGATATCAGATGCAGTTGATATACCTACGTAAGTACAATTACTGATAATATAACAAAAATAGTTTTGGTTATCGAATCTTGTAGTCTATAAAAACTATTTTGTTTCAGAGAAATCTATAAAAATAACAACATGCTATGTTTATGTTTTATGGGATATGCTAGTAAACGAGCAGACGGATCACCTGATGGTAAGCAATCACCACCGTCCATGATCACCTGGAACACCAGAGGGGTTATACAAGTGCCTTACCGGTCTTTTGGGGATCAGGAATTTAAGGATTGTCGGGGTTTCAGGGAGATTGGGGAAGGGGGTAATTGGGCCTCTGGTATACTCACCATTGCTTTGGTTAACTGTCTCTGTTCTCACTCTAAAGATAGAAGATATTAAGAATCTGATGCAGGGTTACTACTAAGCACTATTGGAATGATAACATAATAATATAAATCTACAAAATTAAACAACAGAGCATGTAACCATCAGAAAAAGTTAGTCACCAAGAATATTTTGCGCTTGACTGTCCAAGATTGACGTGATCTATTTGTTATTGTTTTCCCATACTAGCGGCGCGCGCGCAATATTTGTACGTATATTATTTCCCCACGTGTGTCATTTGTCGTCTGACCACGGCCGCGCACGGACGTGGTTAAATAAAAATGAACAATTATTTATTTTGTTTTGTTTTGAGTGCCGTGTTAGTATGTGGGTGTGCGGGACCTTTTAGAGCCTTATTGTACTCTGATTGGATAACATGTGAGTGACGTCATTTTATGTATATTATATACTTACTATATGTGTTTATTCAAGATCGTTGTGTGGTCTGTTACATGGAGTCTTTATATTAAGTTCGATATATTTTTTATTTTATTTTTAAATATGTTGTTTATTAGGATTATCATGTATTAAACTATTTGTTTAAACAGTTTTATCTCTAGTCCCTATAGTTACGTTCGTTGCCTACGGAAGTTCTAACCGTGAACGCGATTTCTAGTTGACATTGATTAGTTAATCTAACCTTATTGAAATGGCATTGCGGTTTTTAACTATTTATTAATGTAGGTGTAGATAAACTTACCAGCAGATTATTTCTCTACTAAACATACAGTGTTGAATAGAGATAGGTCTTAGGAAGTACTGTATTGCAGTTCCAAAGATAATATCAAAATGCTTTGAATCTTAAGTTCAACGTCTTAAGTGCGAATTTAATAAAGTTACCTATGTATAATAATGTTTATAAGTTTGGCCTCGATAACAGAGTCGCGTGATTTATCTTGTTAATTATATTTTTGTGTTTAACTTTAACCTTGTTTTAAAACAAAAATACAGACGATTAAAGTGATACAAATTGGTCATTTCTTTGCATGAAATAAGAATTGATGAGATCTGAATCTCAATTTGAGATTTGGAAAAAATTATTAACATAAGACTATGCGAAGTTCGATGTCAGACCACGTTGGGAAATAGACAAGAGTTTAGCTTACCTACTAACCCTCTTCTACTACAGTCTTTAAGTTTTATTTTACCACAAAAGTATTTTTATATTATTAACCGATTTCAAAAAAAGGAAGGTTCTCAGTTTCAACTGTATGTGTAAGTATGTTTGTGCACGATTATCTCGTGATTGGCTGAACCGATTTGGACTTCAAAAAAGAGGAGGAGGTTGAACTCGGTTTTTTTAAACGCAGTTTAATAAAATTTTTTTTACTGTTTTATATCCAAACATGGGTTCATTCGTTTAGGAGCGAAAGCGTAATGGTGATCCAATTCTATATCTTTTTACAGTATAAATGCAGCTAGTAAGAATGTGCTCATATTTTGAAAAGAAAGAAATGCAAATCAAAAACATGTCGTTGTACAGACCACAGAAAAGATAATGTGTTTCTCTTTACAAATTAAAAGTACTTATAGACAACAAAACAGACTACCCGATACTATAAAATGCCTTATAGATTTTAAGCCCTATTTCAGAAATCTAAACTTTATTACTGTATGCATGTTTAAAAATAAATAATAGAACAAAATATGTCGTATTAAGAAATAATTATAGCTTTAATGACGACACATAGGTCTACCTTAATGTTGAAACTTAATTTTGTAGGTACATACATTATTTATATAATTTCGTAATTAAAGAAAATAGCAGGTCGTCGTATTGTCATGGTCTTTCTTGTATACATCGAAGTATGTAATTACTTTACCGTAATATATCTAGAGGAAATAATGTAGTTGACGTTTTAAGTATGCATCTGATTCAGAAGGTTTTCCTGATAGTAAATACATGTACACAATCATCACTGTCATCGTCATATCAGACGTAATACTTTATAATGAATGGTTTCTTAATCACCTGCTACTTTCTTCTCTGTACTACTTAAAGGTTGACTGGGAGACAATATCCAAGGCATTAAGTCCGCCTGTACACATTTGTTGTATTGAGTTGTGATAAATAAATTATTATGATGATTAAGTAAAAACGCAGGTTACTCACGTGAATGTACTGAGAGAAGCTCTACTAGTTTCGAACCACAAAGGGGTTCTTCCTCATGAGCAGCCCGGCGCAGGCGCGACGTCGCCGCGACCGCGTTTTTACTTAATTTAGTATGTCTCACGATAGTTATTATAAAAACATATTAAGATGATAATTTTCATTATTAAAGATGTGTCCTTTCTTTTTCACGTCTTAGTGTAACAGTTACTTTTCTGAAAACCGTATCAAAATCGATCAAGCTAGTCGCAGGATAATCGTGAACATTCATTTCATGCAACTTTTTTGAAGTCGGTTCAAAATATCAATTTACTCTAATTACACCAAAGTTACCCTTCTGGTACAAAGTACCTAAACACACAATTTATGACATGTCAGCTAATAAAAAGAAATAGGAAAGCCCCGAAAGAACAAAAATAGGGAAAGAACTGTGATTGACGATAAGATTAAGTTACTATTTTCCTTCCTTCTTTTGATTTGCATATTGATATAATTAAGGACCTTGATTTTGAATATTTACCTACTAATAAAAAATATATAACAAGTTTCCTCAACAATTACCTAGATAGTACTTAGATAACCAATTATACTAACCAAACCTACACAATACGATAGACATAACAATAAGACTATTGATAACTAAATCAAATCTTCTTCTTCCAGGTGACCATGACAAGAATCTAGGCTTCGGTGTGAGCGAGACACAAATATTCTTCTACGACTTTCAGAACAACTTCAATCTCTCCTTCCCAATCGACAGTGCTGTGGACGGTATCACCTCCAGCTATAACCTAGACATCTCCAGAAGACTGGTCTTCTTCGTACCAGGCTACAAGTCTCACATCAGCAAAAATACCGAAGACCTCGTCCGACAAGCATTCAGCACCGTACCAAACATATATCTGATCATAGTCGACCATTCCGCTTACACTTCAAGTAAGGGGGGGAAAATCGCCAGCTATGAACGCTCCGTCAGATCCGCCTACTACATCGGAACCGAATTAGGAAACTTCCTTGCTGGTCTACGCGCTAAAGGATTCCCTTCAGACAAAATTCACTGCTTAGGCCACAGTTTGGGCAGTCAAATGCTTGGCTACACAGGAACAAGATACACCGAATTGACAAAGGAAAAAGTCTGGCGTGTGACTGGCTTAGATCCAGCCGGCCCTTGCTTCTCAAACAGCTTCATAGAAAACCAGATCAGATCTGGAGTTGGGCAATACGTAGAAGTGTATCACTGTAATGCTGGAGATCTGGGAACGACTGCTGTACTGGCTGATATAGACTTCTTCTTCAACAAGAAGGGACATAAGCAGCCTTCGTGCCATGAGGGTTTGATACCAGCTAAGGGGGAAAGTGATGCTGCGAAGTGCAGTCACAAAGCTTGCGTGAGGTACTACACTATGTCCGTGCATTTACAGAATGGTTTCCTTGCTTGGGCTTGTGATTCTTACGACCATTACTCTGAAGGTAAATGTGCAGCCAATCAGGTGACGATAGCAGGGTATAATAACCCTGGAAACGCTACAGGCGTGTTTTATGTTTCTACAGAAATGTATGGGATCGAATAATAGTGTAAGTGATTTGATAGACTTGTCAGTAATCGGAATCAATTGATTGGATCAAATGTCATTGTGATTTTCACTTTTTTGTATAGAAACTATGCATAATTGTTTTGTCACGGCTCAGCTGTTTCCTTCACTTTATACGATACTCTTGATTTAGCTAAATTTGTTTGGTACCACAAAACATGAACAAGTTTTTAGTAATTGTTAGTTAAGTATTAGCTCTGTAAAATATAAGGAAAATAAACATTTTGTTTAAAATGAACCTCAAAGTCAATTAAACTTATTTGACTTTATACGTGTGTCATTATTTGTGTTCGTGTGTACTACTTGGTTTTAAAGGAGAAGTAGATAAATATACTTAGTCATCAACCGCAAACTACAGATAACATAGATTTGGTTAAATATAAGGTTAATAAGTATTATATTAAGATAGAAAATATTGAGATGCCTTAGTATTTCAAAAAATATATTTTTAATCTACTTGGAAAACCGAACTGAAAAGAGAAGGTTCTCAGTTCGACCTGTACGTACCTATGTATGTATATTTATGGACAATTATCTCGCACTTGGCCAGTGTACATTATATAAGAGGTTTTAGTATATTAATTAACCGAATTACAAAAAAAGTTTTTTTTTATGGCATAAGCCGGTAAACGAGCAGACGGATCATCTGATGGTCAGCAATCGGCGTCGCCCATGGACACCTGGAACACCAGCGACGTTACAAGTACGTTACCGGCTTTTTGGGGATTAGGAATTTGGGTACCGTTGGGGATTAAGGGATTGGGGAGATTGGGTAAGGGGAGGGTAATTGGGCCTCCGGTAATCTTACTCACACGACGAAACAATACGCAAGCGTTGCTTCACGTCGGTTTTCTGTAAGGCCGTGGTATCACTCCGGTCGAGCCGGCCCATTTGTGCCGAAGCATGGCTCTCCTACACTTAAAAGTTGGGGTTGATGTTGGATTTTTAAGAAAAAAAAATTTTTCATAATATAATCCGGTTAACGAGCAGACGGACACCCAAAACACCAGAGGCGTTACAAGTGTCAGCGTCAAGTTGCTAGCTTTTTGGGATTAGGAATTTGAGGATTGTGAGGGATCGGGGATTGGAAAGATTGGGAAGGGGGGTAATTGGGCCTCTGGTAACAGAACTGAGAATTTAGCAGGATGATAATATTGGCAAGTATGTGTTAATCAAGGATTGATGAAAGTATGACAATTGGGTAGAGATATAATGACATCCTTTACGTTTATGGTACCCATATTTGATTCAATGTTATCAACAGATGTAGGCCTACTTACAAATGTGGCTGTCATGCCAATTGTTACATTATAAACATTGGGTTTTCTATTGTTTTTAAATGATGCATCAGACGTGTTGCATAGCTATCTGATGCATCGTTATAATTATGAGTTACCTAGTCACTTGCGTAAGTTACATGTAGTACCTACATATTTGTTCAATGAAACTGTTTGAAAAAAAATTGAAATGCTGCCAGTAGCATTGCCACGTTGAATGGCAGTTGCAGACTGGGAAACGTGGCCAGAAGACCAGTCTTCTGGCCACACAAGATAGTGACAGACATGCGGATGAATTTTTACCGCTTAACTGAAGGAATTTTGTTTTTGTTTCTTGTTAGTTGGTTCCGAGATTCTGAATAGTTGCACCGAGTTTCGAATTGTACCCTGAATTATTTGCATCTGTATTAAAATACCCAATCCCATCCCCCAGTCGCGGAGAACCTAATGGGTTATCGTTTATTACACCTCGAAGTGCAGGAGTAGGAACGGGGTGGTTTTTACACAGTAGAGTCTGACACTCCCTCCCGCCTCACCCAGGCGGGAGCAGTCATTCGATGATTTCCCCCCCCTAAACCCTCCTTGCTTAATCCCTGAATCCCCCACAATCCTCAAATATGATCAGTCACTATAGGAGTTCTACACCTCTGACTTCTCATTTGAGGAAAAACCAGTACATGTTGCTTCTATAATAGTTTTCCTTAAAAACAAAGACGTGTTCAGTTACAGTGAATGTATCGTGTCTATAAGAAAGGAAAACCTTGAACAAACATATGCTTTGTAAAGGGGAAGTCCATATTATTAAATTATTTCCTACTTATTGGGAATGGAATTAACGTATTGGGATTTTCAAAATTCGAAACACAGATAAATTAAAAATATCGTCCTGGTTCCTCCAAAAATCTTAGTGGAATTTATTATTGTTCCTGCTCATCCTATGATGTCTTATAATTGAGTTCGTTGCCAGGGCCTAGACAGTTGTTCATGTTATTCAGGCGCAGCAGATTTCATTTATTTTGATATATTTTTGGGAAACCATAACGATTAACACCAACCGAGAGATTGATCTCTGCTGCTCTATTGATCCTGGCTTTGGGTTTGAAGTGGGTGGGCCAATGTGGTTGGCGTGTCTTATATACTACAGGAAACAGTTTTTGTTCCATGCCAACCTTCTCTGAAAGTAAACAAGGAGTTATGCATACGTCATGGGAAACTCCAATATATCTGCTTGGGAACAATTTCCTTCACATCAATAATGAACTCCAACCGTTCGTTTTTATTAAGAAACTGACAAAATATCAAGGACCTTTGAAAATAGGGACCTAGCTCCATCCTTCTTCAAGTTTGACATATAACTTTCATTTATACGCATCCATAAAGACATTTGGAATAAGATGAAATGATGGGTACCATAACTCATGTGGTCCTTATGGTGCGAGTGAGACATATTTCTATGTGACGCATAATGTTTCCCGTGAAAAATATCCAAGATCCCTTTATTTGTTTTTTCTGTAGACATTTGCGAAGAAATTGGATTGTCCCTGAAGAGTTATGTGGCAAAAGGCCTGAGGTATAGACCTCGGCTATTGCTCGCGAAATTGGTCCTTTGATCTCGAAAAGGACCATGTTTGTAGTTTCGTTGAATTTAAAATGAGTTTAGTCTGGCTCGATTTAGTCACAAAAAATACATAAAAACATAGAAAAAGAAAAATGATTAGGTATACATTTTGATGATAAAAAACATTTTTTTTGTTGTTTCACATTTTTATGTGTTTAGGAGTAATAGGTGTAATCTATATTGAAAACTTAGTTATCGACAAATTACTTTACCCGTCGTGTCGGAACCAAGATCCACGCGAAACACTTATTTTCTATTGTGTCTTACGCCGGCTGTCAAGAGGTTAAGTTATAGGTAATATCTAGGAGATATTTTATAATATCTAATTAGATAGATTTACCTCTTATATATGCCTTAATACTTATGTATTAAGGCATATATAAAATTAATACATAAGTATTAAGGCGATATTTTGTGTATTACGTAGAAGTAATCTTCTACCTTATACACAAACCGCCTGACCATTTCCATCCGCTACGAATTGTAACAAAGTAATTCAACACCAAAAACTACCAGGCGTTATTTGCACAAAAGAATTTCTATTCAAATTTAACGTTTTATGCTCGGGAAATAATAAAAAAGCACGTATGATTCATTTTCCAGTTGAAATTCACTGGAAAACGTTAAAAATAAACATTTTAGTCGTTCAATTACGAGAGTTGCGAGCTCACTTGACCTGCAACTGAAATTATTACTACGGTCTCTCATTGGATAATCGCTTCCTTTGATTAGTAGGACCAATTGAGATGAGAGATAATGACTACTGATGGAGTTGTTGAAAACGTGACTATCGCAGATAAGGTTTCGAGTTTGGAAAAGCAATTGGTCAAAAATAATGTTGTGAAATCACTTCAATACCTGTTTCTTTCCACTCCATGCTCAAGGCTTCAGGCTCCAATCCTCATAGGGAACTGGCCTTCATAGGAAACTGAGCACTAGACCAGAGGAGACCAAAAAAGGCTGAGAAGGGTCACTAAAGGCTATCAGAATTGCACACGTATAAAACTTTATTTCAGATAGTAATATGTTGATGTCGTATGTCTCATTGGATAATTACATCTTATTATTACTAGGACCAATTGAGTTCTAGTTCAAGTTCATTATCATCATTGTGTAATTGGAGCAGGGACATCTATTTTTATACCTTTAATAAAAGAATTGAAATCGGATGAGACGTGATAATTAAATCCCTATAAATATGCCTCAAGCATTATAGTTGGAGGAAAAATCTTTAAGTGCCTGCCTTTGTGCCAAATAATGGACGTTTCTCTTTTTATAAGTATCATGAAAAGGTGACAAAGGTGATTACGTTTTTATAAACATGTTGTAAAATGTATAAGTGATTGAAAATTGTTACATTTCAAAATAGAAATAACGTAAACGAAACAGATTTCGACTTTTACTGAAAACAATTACACCGTTCGTTATTGAAAACTCAAATATTAAAAACTAGCGACCCGCCCCGGCTTCGCACGGGTGCAATATGCATTTATTATACATATAAACCTTCTTTAAGAATCACTCTATTAAAGAAAACCGAATCAAAATCCGTTAGTTTTAAAGTTCTAAGCATACATAGGGACAGACAGACGGCGGATAGCGACTTTGTTTTATACTATGTAGTGATAATAAAAATCAATCAACGCCAGTCGTATATACTTATGGAATTCGGTACCACAATATCAACACAGCTATTACCTGTAACCTGTTATCCAGTACAATTTTTCGCTCCATAAATGTATCATCCAACTAGCGTCTGTTAGGGGATTCGCCCGCGTTCTCATGTGATAAAAAGTAGTAGTGATTGAGTAACAAATACACACACACAAACTCACGTCATAATGGCTGAAGGGTTCCGAATGAAATTTAGAATATAGATTATGGTTTAGAATAACATATAGGCTACAAACATACACATAAACTTCTTATAATATTAGTAAGACAGTAAGATTGCAGTCGTGTGGCTAATATTTTCGACAATAAACAATAGTAGGGGTCACAGTGTAACCACAAACCACACGAGTGAGCTTGTACGAGTTGATACAATTCCAGTGCTCGGTTACCAGTGTCGAAACTTCGTAAAAATACTATTTCCCATTTTAAACTGCTACGAAAGTTTCGATTTAGACACTATTTTTTTTTTAGTTCGCCGCGGTCTTTTCAGTAATTTTTTGCTTTCGTACTACATAACAATGCTGCAATGTTGAGCGCTTTGTCTACTGATTTTGTGTTTGTCGAGAAGATAAGATATTTAATTTTAAAATAATATGCAGTTTTTGTTATGCCTCTAGTTGGATAAGCAGATCTGAAGTAACCGACGGAAATAACCTGATACAATTTTCAGGTCACAGGTATTTCTACGAATTTTATTAAA